GCAGTGTTTGCCTTAAAACGTAGATTAGAAAGTGTTTCCTCTGCTTCTGTTTTGCAGAAGAGATTGTAAAGAATCTGTGTCATTTCTTTTATAAGTGTTTGCCAGAATTCATCAGTGAAATCATCCTGGCCTGTTCCCACCCCCTCCCGTGGGACATTTATTATTTATTGATTCAATTGCTTCAGTAGATATAGGCATATTCGTTATTCATTTCTCTTTTTGTGAGTTTTGGTAGACTGTGTCTTTCAAGGAGTTAGTCCATTTCATGTCATTTATCAAATATGTAGGCATTCAGCTGTTCTCACTATTCTTATATGGTCTATTTAATGTCCTTGAGATTGTTAGTAATAACCCAGCCGCTCTTTTTTTCTGACTTGACTATGGACTTAACGATTCTATCCAGTTTCGGTTGTTTTGTCTTCATTTTAGCTGAGTTTTTCTTTGGTTGCTCACATCTGTTGAATACTTACTTTAGTTGTTGTACCTTACAGCTGCAGAAATTCTGTATGGCTCAGTTGCTAATTTTTTATTGGTATCATTTTCTCTATTTCTGGTTTTCTTTTAGTTCTGTGTTCATCATTGCCTTTAGCTCATTCAATGTATTTAAGACAGTTGCTTCAAGTTTTTAATTCAGTAAGTTCATTATCTGAGATTTCATGGAGATGGTTTATCTGAGTTAAATTTTTCCACCATAAACTATATCTTCATGTTTCTCTGTGTTCTTCATAATTTTGTTTGTGTTAAAAGGAAGACATTTGAATGTTGTAATGGGGTAACTCTAGCAGTCTGATTCTTTCCCATTCACTGGTTGCTATTGTTTGTTGCAAGCTGTAGTTATTCATTTTTTGGTAACATTTCTTTCTTTCTTTTTTTTTTTTTTTTAAGATGGAGTCTTGCTCTGTCACCCAGGCTGGAGTGCAATGGTGTGATCTCAGCTCACTGGAACCTCCACCTCCCAGGTTCAAGCCATTCTCCTACCTCAGCCTCCCAAGTAGCTGGTACTACAGGCATGCATCACCAAGCCTGGCTAATTTTTGTATTTTTAATAGAGATAGGGTTTCACCATGTTAGCCAGGCTGATCTCAAACTCCTGACCTCAAGTGAGCCGCCTGCCTTGGCCTCCCAGAGTTCTGGGATTACAGGTGTGAGCCACCACGCCCGGCCTTTAGTAACATTTTCAAAATGTGTTTGTAGAGACTATATTCCCTAATCACACTGAAGTCTCTGTTCTTTAGCTTGTTGTGTTCATCCTGTGTTCTGACAGAGGTTTCCTGAATGTTGGAAGCTAAAAGTAAAAAAGATGAAAAACACAAAAACCTGACCTCTTCGGGCCTCCGTGCATGGCTCTGTGCTGGGTCATTCCTTGAACACTTAGCGAGGCTATTTAAAACTCTGCTTTTTAGCCTTTATGTTCTATTTTACCAAACCCAGACATCAGCCAGAGCTGAAATTGAGGGTTTCCCTAGGTCTTCTATGAAAATGTTACTTCCTGTGCCTGCTTGTGACTTTCTCAATTCCCCAGCATACCTGGGTGCCTTTGAATACCCTAGTTTCTGAAGGAAAATTTCTCTCCAGATTTTTTCCTTGGGACTTAGATGGTCTCAGATCTTAATCATAATCTGTTTCCTGAGTGATTGCAGTCTTTTTGTGTATTTTACAGTCTTTTTGTGTATCAAGATGTTCCTGACACGTTTGTCCCTGATTTCCATTACAGATGAAATAGAGTAGAGAGTCCTAGGGCCAGGTGCAGTGGCTCACACCTTTAGTAACCCCAGCACTTTGTGAGGCTGAGGTGGGCAGATCACAAGGTCAGGAGTTCAAGACCAGCCTGGCCAAGATAGTGAAACCCCATCTCTACTAAAAATACAATATTAGCTGGGTGTGGTGGTGGGGTGCTTGTAATCCCAGCTACTCAGGAGGCTGAGGCAGGAGAATTGTTGGAACCTGGGAGTCAGAGGTTACAGTGAGCCAAGATTGCACCATTGTACTCCAGCCTAGGCGACAGAGTGAGACTTGTCTCAGGGAAAAAAAAAAATCTTGTGTCAGACCTTCATATAGTCCCCATACTAATTGGAAAATACAAAGACAATAATTTGCAAATAAGATCCGATCTGCTGTCTGTAGAATCATTGACCAGGGTTTCATACTGGGATCTCAGGCTGCTGTGTTCAAGACTGATACTGCAGTGGCTCATGCCAGTAATCCCAGCACTTTGGGAGGCCAAGGCGGACGGATCACCTGAGGTCAGGAGTTCGAGACCAGCCTGACCAACATGGAGAAACCCCGCCTCTACTAAAAATACAAAATTAGCAGGGCGTGGTGACGGATAACTGTAATCCCACCTACTCAGGAGGCTGAGGCAGGAGAAATGCTTGAACCTGGGAGGCAGAGATTGTGCCATTGCACTCCAGCCTGGGCAGCAAGAGCAAAACTTCATCTCAAAAAAAAAAAAAAAAGACTGACACTGAGGTGGGGAGGGATGAGACCAAGGACAAATGAAAACCCCACAAGGCTTTCCTACCATTTTTCACATTCATTTTAAAATTTATTTGTGTCTCTGTTAATAGTATGGGAGCTGAATATTATAGTTTTAAAATTATTTATCTGTTCTTACAAAGCTGTCACTTTGTTGATGAGAAGCTTTTTAGCATTTTTATACATTTGTGACTTCTATTAGATTTGGTAATATAATTTTTTGTTGACTACTAAACAAAAGTCTGATTTAGCTATTTAGGGAATATTATAGATATTCATGAGAGGTGACATTGAGTTCTTTTATTTATTTATTTATTTATATTTTATATAGATATAGATATTTTGACACAGAGTTTTACTCTTGTTGCCGAGGCTGGGGTACAATGGCACGATCATGGCTCACTACAACCTCCGCCTCCTGGGTTCAAGCGATTCTCCTACCTCAGCCTCCTGAGTACCTAAGATTATGGTCATGTGCCACCACGCCTGGCTAATTTTATATTTTTAGTAGAGATGGGGTTTCTCCATGTTGGTCAGGCTGGTCTCGAACTCCCAACCTCAGATAATCTGGTCCCTCAGCCTCTCAAGGTGTTGGGATTACAGGCGTGAGCCAACACGCCCAGTCTGACTTGGGTTCTTTCTAAAAACACGTGTAATCTGTCCCCTTTGTTATCCTTTGACATTACCTAATAAAAAGTTTAGGCCGGGCGCGGTGGCTCAAGCCTGTAATCCCAGCACTTTGGGAGGCCGAGGCGGATGGATCACGAGGTCAAGAGATCAAGACCATCCTGGTCAACATGGTGAAACCCCGTCTCTACTAAAAATACAAAAAATCAGCTGGGCATGGTGGCGTGTGCCTGTAATCCCAGCTACTCAGGAGGCTGAGGCAGGAGAATTGCCTGAACCCAGGAGGCGGAGGTTGCAGTGAGCCGAGATCGCGCCATTGCACTCCAGCCTGGGTAACAAGAGCGAAACTCTGTCTCAAAAAAAAAAAAAAAAAAAAGGCCGGGCGCGGTGGCTCAAGCCTGTAATCCCAGCACTTTGGGAGGCCGAGGCGGGTGGATCACGAGGTCAAGAGATCGAGACCATCCTGGTCAACACGGTGAAACCCCATCTCTACTAAAAATACAAAAACATTAGCTGGGCATGGTAGCGCGTGCCTGTAATCCCAGCTACTGAGGAGGTTGAGGCAGGAGAATTGCCCGAACCCAGGAGGTGGAGGTAGCGGTGAGCCGAGATCGCGCCATTGCACTCCAGCCTGGGTAACAAGAGTGAAACTCCGTCTCAAAAAAAAAAAAAAAAAAAAAAAAAAGTTTAAAAGTCTTCCACTGGGATGATGAAGTGTATTTTCTTAGTCTTTTGTCTTGCTTTGCCACATTTGATTTAAAGGAAACCTGTTGCCAGCTTCTTAATGTTCTTAGTGTAATCACATAGGATGGGTTGAATCCCCCAGGTAACATGGTGCAACAGCATTTTGAAAGGTTATTTATCAGTGTCATTCATTAGAGACTCAGTGCCCAGAGTGTTTCCTTGTGTCTATGTTTTTTTGTTGCTTATAACAGAATACCTGAAGCTAGATAATTTAAATGAAACAATATATGTATTTTGTAGTTCTGGAGGCTGGGAAGTCCAAGGTCAAGGCTGGGCATCTGGCGAGAACCTCCTTGCTGGCGGAGACTCTGTGGAATCCCTGTGTGGCACGGGGCATCACTTGATGAGAGAGCTGAGTGTCTAGCTCAGGTCTCTTTCTCTTCTCATAGGGACATAAGTCCAGCTCCTATCACTACGCATTTATTCTTTAAGCCATTAATTCAAGAATGGATTCATCTTGATTTTCTTGAGATCCAAATCCTCAAGACCTAATAACTTCTTCAAGCGTCACCTTTCATTACTGCCACATTGGGGGTTAAGTGTCAGCATGTATTTTGGTGGGGACAAACATTCAAGCCTAGCATTGGCTGATCAGCTGTGCTCCCACTGCTGAGGATGTAACAAAATTCCAAGCTCCCCAAGAGAAGATAATTGTTAATCGAATACTATACTTTTTCCATAAACAGTTTATGCATACTCAGCACCTATTATTAGTTATGTTGGTGGAGACCCTCTATAAATCCAGTGCCTAGAGTACATGAAAGATCCAACTTTGTTAACCAGTGTTTGTAAATTATATACAATCTCAGGACTCCTAATCTTGCCCAGTAAGTAGTGGGACTTTGTCACAACAAGAATTACAGACCCACTATGAAGTAGACATTAGGGATGATCCTGGCAATAAAATTCACTCATTTAAGTCATCAAAAAGACACCTGTTCCTGTTTGACTATTATTTATACCAAACATTCAGTTCTAGCATCAGAATTGCTGTGTGGGAGAAAGTGAGTGTAGAGAGAGAATAAGAGTGGATTGAGCATGTCATTGAATCACTGCTTAGAAACAATAGCATCATACAAAGTTTCTGAAGTGGGTGTAAATTTTTGGTACTATCAGTCTCAACCTTTCTCCTCTGTACATGTGGGATGTTTCAGGATTCAGTAGCCTTTGAGGATGTGGCTGTGAACTTCACTCAGGAAGAGTGGGCATTGCTGGGTCCATCACAGAAGAGTCTGTACAGAGATGTGATGTGGGAAACCATCAGGAACCTGGACTATATAGGTAAAGATGACACTATGTCTTCACTTAGTCAATTAGAGACATTTTTTACTTGGTCATCAATACTGTTGAATGATTTGAATTATGGAAAGGGGATATGGTTGACCCTTCAACAACCCAGGGTTAAGGGGTGTGGGGTCACCAACCAGTTATACATATTCAATAACTTTTTGTTCACCATAACTTAACCTTCAGTTGACTGGTAGACTAATTGGTCACAAAAACAATTGATTAACAGATATATTGTCTGTTACATGTATTCCATACGATATTCTCACAATAAAGTAAGCTAGAGAAAATAAATGTCAATAAGAAAATCACAAAGAGGAGAAACTATATTAGCTGTGCATTGAATTGAAATGGATCATCATAAATATGGGCTTTCATCCTCATTGTCTTCTCATTGAGTAGGCTGAGTAAGAGGAGTGGTTGGTCGTGGTGTCCCGGGGTAGCAGAGACTGAAGAAAATTTATATATAAGTGAACTTAGGTGGTTCAAACCTGTGTTGTTCAAGAGTCAACTATAATTCAGTGAATGAATCATGCATGATTCTATTGTACATAAAATCTTCTCTTTTTTTGAGACGGAGTCTTGCTCTGTTGCCCAGGCTGGAGTGCAGTGGTGTGATCTCAGCTCACTGCAACCTCCACCGCCAGGGCTCAAGCAATTCTCTGCCTCAGCCTCGCCAGTAGGTGGGATTACAGGCGCCCACCACCATGCCTAGCTAATTTTTGTAATTTTAGTAGAGACAGGGTTTTACCATCTTGGCCAGGCTGGTCTTGAACTCCTGACCTCATGATTCACCTGCCTTGGCCTCCCAAAGTGCTGGGATTACAGGCATGAGCCACTGTGCCCAGCCTGTACCTAAAATTATATAGTGTTTTTAGAATTTTATAATAATCTACAGTGTTTTTTCTGTGTTCACCTTTTAGGAATGAAATGGGAAGACACAAACACTGAAGATCAGCACAAAAATCCCAGGAGAAGCCTAAGGTAATTTGTACTCACAAGAGAAAGACATATCTGTGGAGCAATTCTTAGGACGACAGGAAGTTTTACAAATAGGCAAAGAAAATGAACAAGCCCAATATAAATTTATTTATTCCTAGAAAATTTTATCCAGAAACATATATGTTTTTTTTTTTTTGAGACAGCATCTTGCTCTGTCTCCCAGGCTGGAGTGCAGTGGCACAATCTTGGCTCACTGCAACCTCCTCCTCCTGAATTCAAGTGAATCTCCTGCCTCAGCCTCCCAAGCAACTGAGACTTCAGGCACCCGCCACCATGCCTGGCTAATTGTATTTTTAGTAGAGACAGAGTTTTACCATCTTGGCCAGGCTGGTCTCAAACTCCTGACCTCATGATCTACATGCCTTGGCCTCCCAAAGTGCTGGGATTACAGGTGTGAGCCACTGCACCTGGCCCAGAAACATATACTTAAATGTGACATAGCTATTCAGTGTTTGCAAAAATCATTCCCTTAGAAACAGTATTAAAAATTCTATGTGTTTATCATTGTGAAGAAAACAGCTGGGGTCAAGTTATCTTGTACAACGTTCAGTCCATTCACGTTCGAGCAGCGCCTGAAGCCTACACATTGCATGATTATGTAAAAATGTAAATCCAAAGCCTATTAATAAATATAAAATCAGTTATAAGTAAACCTTTATTAATATACTTCTCATGTTTTACAGATGTCATATTGTAGAGAGATTCCGTGAAAGTAGCCAGATTTCAGATAGTATTGTGGTTGAAAAAACTCCTGGAGTAGATCCATGTGAAAGCAGTGTGCATGGAGAAGTCAACATGGATTGTTCATTCCTTAATTGCATCACATTTGATGCTGGACACAAACCAGGTGAGTGTCAGGAATATGGAGAGAAGCCACATACATACAAACAATGTGGGACAGCCTTCAATTATCACCACTCCTTTCAAACACAAGAAAGACCTGACACTGGAAAGAAACGCTATGATTGTAAGGAATGTGGGAAAACCTTCAGCTCTTTGGGAAACCTTCGAAGACACATAATAGTGCAACGTGGAGGTGGACCTTATAAATGTAAGTTGTGTGGAAAAGCCTTTTTTTGGCCTAGTTTATTTCATATACATGAAAGAACTCACACTGGAGAGAAACCGTATGAATGTAAGCAGTGTTCTAAAGCCTTCCCTATTTACAGTTCCTTTCTAAGACATGAAAGAACACATACTGGGGAGAAACCATATGAATGTAAGCAGTGTTCTAAAGCCTTCCCCGATTCCAGTTCCTTTATAAGACACAAAAGAACTCACACTGGAGAAAAACCCTATAAATGTAAACAATGTGGAAGAGCCTTCAGTGTTTCCAGTTCCCTTCGAATACATGAAAGAACTCACACTGGAGAGAAACCCTATGCATGTAAGCAATGCGGGAAGGCATTTCATCATCTGGGAAGCTTTCAAAGACACATGATAATGCACACTGGAGATGGACCCCATAAGTGTAAGGTATGTGGGAAAGGTTTTGATTGTCCTAGTTCACTGCAAAGTCATGAAAGAACTCACACTGGAGAGAAACCCTATGAATGCAAGCAGTGTGGGAAAGCATTATCTCATCGCTCAAGCTTTCGAAGTCATATGCTAATGCACACTGGAGATGGACCTCACAAATGCAAGGTATGTGGGAAAACCTTTGTTTATGTCAGTGTATTTCAAAGACATGAAAGGACTCACACTGGTGAGAAACCCTATGAATGTAAAGTATGTGGTAAAGCCTTCCGTATTTCCAGTTCCCTTCGAAGACATGAAGCAACTCACACTGGAGAAAAACCCTATAAATGCAAATGTGGGAAAGCCTTTATTAATTTCTATTCCTTTCAAAATCACAAATCAACTCACACTGGAGAGAAGCCATATGAGTGTCAGGAATGTGGGAAGGCTTTCAGTTGTTCCACATACCTTTCTCAGCATAAAAGGATCCACACAGCTGAAAAACCTTATGAGTGTCAAACATGTGGGAAAGCTTTCAGTCATTTTGGTAACTTAAAAGTCCATGAAAGGATTCACACTGGAGAGAAGCCGTATGAATGTAAGGAATGTGGGAAAGCATTCTCTTGGCTCACTTGTCTTCTGCGACATGAAAGAATCCACACTGGAAAGAAATCTTATGAGTGTAAACGATGTGGTAAAGCCTTCACTCGTTCTCGTTTCCTTCGAGGACATGAAAGGACTCACACTGGTGAGAAGAGGCATGCATGTAAGGAATGTGGGAAGGCGCTGAGTTCCCTCCGTTTCTTGCATAGACATAAAAGGACTCACTGGAGAGATACTCTCTAAGTGTGGGAAAGCATTCATTAATTTTATTTCATTTCAGAAACATGAAAGAAATCACATAGGAATAAGCCTCATGAATGTAAACAGATGGTAAAGCCTTAAGATGTTTCTTTCGAATATGGTTATTACTGAGCCATATGCAGGGGATTGGTTCCAGACCCCCTAAGCACACCTAAATCCACAGATGCTGTGTCCCTTTTATAAAGTGACTTTTGCATGTAACCTATCTGCATCCTGTAAATCATGCCTACATTACTTAATTTTTCACCAACCCAAAGTTTTTGTAAAAGTAAAAATAAAAAGTAGATTACTAAAATACCTCATGTGTTGTAAATGCTATGCAAATGGTCATTTTGTATTTTTTAAAGAATCATTATACGAAAATAATCCTATAATATGAGAACAGACCTAACCTTTGCAGGCCTGCCTACGTAGTACATGTCACCTAGAATGTTACAGTTTCTTTTCTTTTTTGGAGATGGAGTCTCACATTGTTGCCCAGGCTGGACTGCAGTCATGTGATCTTGGCTCATTGCAACCTCCACCTCCTGGATTCAAGTGATTCTCCTGCCTCAGCCCCCCAAGTAGCTGGGATTGCAGGTGCCCACCACGATGCCCAGCTAATTTTTGTATTTTTAATAGAGACGTGGTTTCACTATGTTGGCCAGGCTGGTCTCAAACTCCTGAATTTGTGATCCACCCTCCTGGGCCTCCCAAAATGCTGGGATTACAGACGTGATCCACTGTGTTTGGCCATTTTTTTTTTTTTTTTTTTTTTGAAGCAGAGTTTCGCTCTTGTTGCCCAGGCTGGAGTGCAATGGCACCATCTTGGCTCACTGCAACCTCTACCTCCCGAGTTCAAGCGATTCTCCTGTCTCAGCCTCCCAAGTAGCTGGGATTACAAGTGCATGCCATGCCACCATGCCTGGCTAATTTTTTTTTTTTTTTTGTATCTTTATTAGAGACAGGGTTTCATCATATTGGTCACGCTGGTCTTGAACTCCCGACCGCAGGTGATTTGCCTGCCTCAGCCTCCCAAAGTGCTGGGATTACAGGTGTGAGCCACCACACCCAGCCTCAGTTTCTTTTTTCAACACTCATAAATTGCATTTATGTAATGACCTGGAATCATGTGTTAACACTTAACAAAACCCTGGTCCTTCTTGCTTGATATCCCAAGTATGATGATGATGATTACAATGTGGTGCCTAATGTGATTCAATGAGGTGACTAGATGGCTGGCAGTGTAGATAAGCAGTGAGACATCAGGCTCACTTGAATCTTGACAGGCTATCAGGATGATTATCTGTGTTGGATGAACCAAGTTTCCTGTGAGGGACACCTGATCATTCATTGACTTTTTTCTTTTTTTCCTTTTTTCTTTTTTTTTTTTTTTTTTTGAGATGGAGTCTTGCTCTGTTGCCCAGGCTGGAGTGTCATGGCACAATCTCGGCTCGCTGCAACCTCCACTTCGCGGGTTTGAGCAACTGTCCTGCCTCAGTCTCCTGAGTAGCTGGGATTACAGGCATGCACCACCACACCCAGCTAATTTGTTATTTTTTTTGTATTTTTAGTAGAGATGTGGTTTTACCATATTGGCCAGGCTGGTCTCGAACTCATGACCTTGTGATCTGCCCACCTCGGCTTCCCAAAGTGCTGGGATTGCAGGCATGAGCCACCACGCCTGGCTAACATTTAAATATCAGTCCCTTCAACAGAAGGAATTGCTATGAAAGGCACACTGTAAATATCACAACCAGATGTCTGGGAGCCCCATGATGGCAGCACTAGAGTTTGTAGCCACACTCCTGAGAGACCCCAATGACAAATTAGAAGAAAATAGATGGGCATGGCTCTCTGCAACAGAGGTAGTGGGGAGAAAGGTAGCTGGTCCTATGCTGAATGTTGAAATGGCCACAATTAACCAGTTTACCATCCAAATCTTTTTCTGGAATGTGATGTTTTGTTTTCTTTTCTTTTCTTTTTTTTTTTTTTTGAGACAGAGCCTCAGCATTGCACTCAAGCCTGGTCGATAGAGCAAGATTCTGTCTTGGTGTCGCCCAGCCTGGAGTGTAGTGGTGTGATCTCGGCTCATTGCAACCTCTGCCTCCCGGGTTCAAGTGATTCTCCTGTCTCAGCCTCCTGAGTAGCTGGGACTATAGGCTCCCACCACCATACCCAGCTAATTTTTGTATTTTTAGGAGAGATAGGATTTCACCAGGTTGACCAGGATGGTCTTGATCTCCTGACCTCGTGATCCACCTGCCTTGGCCTCCCAAAGTGCTGGAATTCTAGGCGTGAGCCACTGTGCCTGTCCAGTTTTCTGGAACTTTCAAGGCTTCAATAGACTGTTAAAGAGAACAGAAGCAAATAAAATGGATGTGGTACTCACCCTAGACATCACAGTCTATCTGGGAAGACAGTTTGATTAGTTACTTTACATAACAAGTTAAGGTAAAAATAATAGTTTATTTACCAGTTGGTTTTTTGTTTTGTTTTTGAGGAGACAGGATCTTCCCATGTTGCCCAGGCTGGTCTCCAATTCCTGGGTTCAAGCAATCCTCCTGCCTCCCAAAGTGCTGGGATTACAGGCACAAAGCACCATGCCCAGTCTATTTACCAGTTTCCAAATCCCTATTAAAAATCTTAGAATTTTTTTCCTCTACTTGATGTATAAGCACAGGAAGAAACCCAGGACTCTGCCAGTTGCTTATTCAAACAGTGGAATTGAGGGACTCTGTCTCATTTAACTCATCAGTGCTGGTGAGAAGCACATGAAGACTCTTGCAGCGGCCATGGGGAATGTTCCCTTTGGCCCTCTGATGTTTTGCTGAATTAATTGGAGAGAAGAGAGATTAATTGGAGAAAAAGCATACAAATTTTATTTAACGTGTATATCTGGGAAACTCCAGAATGAAGACCCAGATATACAGAGTAAATTGTTCTTTTTTTTTTTTTTTTTTTTTTTTTTTTTTTAGACAGAATCTTGCTCTGTCACCCAGGCTTGAGTGCAGTGGTGTGATCTCAGCTGATGCAGCCTCCACCTCTTGGGTCCAAGTGATTCTCCTGCCTCAGTCTCCCAAGAGCTGGGATTACAGATGTGCACCACCACATCCAGCTAATGTTTGTATTTTTAGTAGAGATGGGGTTTCACCATGTTGGCCAGGCTGGTCTCGAACTCCTGGCCTCAGGTGATCTGCCCGCCTTGGCCTCCCAAAGTGCTGGGATTACAGGCATGAGCCACTGTTCCCGGCCTGGAAATGGTTCTATTTTATGCTTAGGTTTAACAATGTATGGACAGCCATGTAGAAATGTGATTAGACCAAAAGTGTATGATCCCATACTAACAGACTGAGTGGGGAAACCCAACAGGGCCTGGCTAGATTGTTCTTGGCCTTTCTGAGAATGCATTCCTTTCTTCTGGGTATAAGGCAGGACCCACTCTGAAATGGGGGGTTTTATGAGCTGCAGCAAGCTTGTCCAACCTACTGTCCAGGACGGCTTTGAATGCAGCCCAACATAAATTCGTAAACTTTCTTAAAACATTAGGGATTTTTTTTGTGTGTGATTTTTTTTAGCTCATCAGCTATTGTTGGTGTTAGTGTATTTTATATGTGGTCTAAGACAATTCTTCCAGTGCGGCCCAGGGAACTCCCAGGGACACTCCTGACCTACAATCAAACAAGGTTGGCAGTTAATTTGCCCATGGCCAGTTTTTACACAGCAAGGACAATGCAAAGAGTAATACATTTAGGTTTTATTCCTGGATTTAGGGGAAAAGAGTTCTGGATTCTATGACCTGGAGAGGAGAGATTCTAGTTTCTATGACTAGCCTTGAAAAAGAATGGGACTAAGTTTTTCCTCTGCCCACTGCAGAGAAAAACCTTTTGCTTCTGAGGCTTCTTCCAGGGTCTTCTTTTTAGGGTATTGTTTTCTGAGCCCTAACCACCTGGAGTGGGCAGCAGAGTTGGAGCCAGTGACTCCACGCTGAGCCCATTCTGAAGGCTGCAAAGGGAGGGAAATGAAGCCTCCTCTTTGGTGCTTCCTCCACAGCCTGTGCTGGTCTGCACATAATCTGAAGCTGTGCTTAAAATCAGATGTTAGCATTTATGTATTAGGAAAATCTGGGTAAAGAGTTTATGAATTTGACAGTTTATGTAGGTTAGTAACTTAAACTAACTTTTTTTTTTTTTTTGAAACCAAGTCACTCTGTCACCCAGGCTAGAGTGCAGTGGCACAATCTCAGCTCACCACAACCTCCTCCTCCCAGGTTCAAGTGATTCTCCTGCCTCAGCCTCCCGAGTAGCTGGGATTACAGGTGCCCACCACCATGCCCAGCTAATTTTTGTATTTTTAGTAGAGACAGGGTTTCACCATGTTGGCCAGGCTGGTCTTGAACTCCTTACCTCAGGTGATCCTCCTGCCTCGGCCTCCCAAAGTGCTGAGATTACAGGCATAAGCCACCGTGCCCGGCCCTTTAACTTTACATGAAACTTTACTGCTGGTGAAAATGCAGGTCTTGAAGGAGGGGGCATTTCCACACTCTGCAGAGGGCACAGGGAAGTATGTTGAGCTCTCAGAGTCAAATCCTTCAGTGTCCCAGTCTCATCACCAGGTTTTTATCCACTCTGGGGTTCCATTTCAACAGTTAAGAGGCTGGCTACCAGGTCTGGGAATATGTTTAGCCTCCTGAATGGGATGTTTGCTTGTGAAGTATGAGTGCAGCAGGCTGCTTTATCTGAACTAGTTCAAGGTTTTGCTTTTTTTTTTTTTTTTTTTTTCTGTTTTGATTCATTCATTCATTCATTTATTGCTGCTGTGTGATTTCAGTTCTTCCACACATTGGATATTTAATACCGTTCACTTGTTTTTATTTCCGTGGCTGAAAATGAGTAGATCGAGATGCAAGGTGAGAGGAAGGCTTGACCTTACCACCAAGAGTCTTATCCCCAAATCCTGATGACCAGTGGACCTCAGGCTCCCTCCTGCTGCAGTGTGGCCTCTGTGGCCTGGGCTTCCCTCTGCTCTGACGCCAGGGGAATGGCTCCACTGGACCGTGGGTCTGGGATTACCTGCACACACGTGTGACAGCTTCTCCAGGAGGAAAAGCAATAAGGGCCCGCAGCGTATGGGCAGGGAATTCTGCATACATGCAAATGTTCCCTGGGAGAGATCAGGTCACACTGCAGGGAGGAAGCCTGCCCTGCCAAGGGCTGTGTTTGGAACTCGTTCATCCCGCTCTACTCAGCACTGTGATCGCTTCTTCTATTACTCGGTGCCCAAGGGGCAGGACCTGGAGCCCTATCCAATCAGAGCCATAGGGCGGGGTCACGGGAACTGTCAATCAGGCGTGGTGCCCGGAGGAAAGTGCGAGGTTCAAAGAGCCCGCGGCGTCTTCTCCACGCCCCTTCGCTCATCTCCCGCCTCTGCCGCTGAGAGACGCCCTGAAACGTCTGTGGCAACCTCTGTCACATTGGGACCCGCACTGGCAGCGGGAGGCAGAGGGTGGACTCTGGAACGTCCCAGAAGCCGGAAAATGGTGCGTCTGCGGGCCAGGCATCCCGAAAGCAGGGAAGGGCTGGTTGGAACCGTCCAGAACCGGCCGTGGCGGAACCCGGGCCTCCCCAGCCGTCAGCTCCGGGGTCTGGGACCCGGGTCCGCCTGGCGCAGCTCGGCGCTCGGTCCATCCCCTCGGCCGCAGGGTGAGGTTGGATTGGCAGCTGGGACCCCAGGCGTCCTGTCCCGTCCCTGCGCGGCGACTGCGGTCGAGACCTCGGAGCCCTCTCTGGGCAGCTCGGCTCCCGCAGCCCCGTTTCTTCCCCAGATTGTGGGGAGGTCACGGGAGGGTCATGGGGGAATCCCCACTTGTGTGTGGGGTTCGTGGGTGGGAAGCGCTGTGATCTGTGGGATCCTCAGTCTCTGCGTTCTTCCCAAATAGGACCAGTTTTCCTCTGTCTTCAAAGGTTTGGGAAGCCAGGTGGCTAATGCCTTACCTTATCCCCTCACCCTAACTTCTGGGGCTGGCAGTAAATCCCTAGACTTCCAGAGTTCGCCCTGCATTTCATAAAGCTGACTTCCTCTCTGTCACAGGGGAACGGCTACTATCAGGGCCCGTAACGCTGGGGTAAAAGAATTTTTACCAAGACAGCTGTAGGTAGAGAAAGGCAGATTTATTAGCACAAGTAGGAAAATCTGTCTCAAGGGAGGCAAAAGGGAGCCTGCAGGAGAGAAGCGGAGGCTTTCGGGCGATTTTATAGAATGGAACTTGGGCTGATGGATGGTGCCAAGGCAGCAGGGAGCTTAACTTGCATTCCTCTGTCAGCTTAGGTGTTTGATAAATTGAGGCGTTTGATGGTGAGCAGGAAGTCTGTGAATTAAGCACTTTTCTGGGCAAGAAGGCCATGTGTTGGGCCATATGTCGTAGGCCAGAAAGAAAGACATGTACAGGAGTTCCAAGACCAGCCTGGCCAACGAGGTGAAACCCCATCTCTACTAAAAATACAAAAATTAGCCACGTGTGGTGGTGCATGCCTGTAATCCCACCTACTCAGGAGAATCGCTTGAACGCAAAAGGTGGAGGCTGCAGCGACCTGAGGTCACACCACTACCACTGCACTACAGTCTGGGCGACAGAGCGAGACACTGTCTGAAAAAAAAAAAAAAAAGTTAGACCTGTAACTTACCTGCATTCTCTTTTGTTTAAATTCTCTGGACATGAAGATAGGCAGATTTCTAGCTTATTTGCTTTATCTTTCTGCTTTACCCTGTTCCCCTTAGCCTGACTCCTTTTCCCTAATTAAGACTCCACACTCTCCTCAGTTCACAGCAACATAATGAACTCTTTGTCCCCCAGGCTGTATTTCAAGCAGATGCAGTATTTTAGCTGTCATTTTTTCCCCAGGTAACAATGTATGACTTTTTTAGAAGATACAATTTTTGTTTGTGAATATTTCATATGTGAGAATGTAGAGAATAACCACCTGTCAGGTAGTTTAACCACTCTGCTGTAAAAACGAACAACATCAACAAAAGTTTGTGCTTCTCCTTTTATTTTTCCAAGGCAAAGGCACCTTATCAGAATTTGTTTGGGTTGAGGTTCCCCTTTGGAAACCACCCAGTGATGAGTCCTGAGCCCACGCTGTATTTTCCTGGTGCTGGCTTTGATAACTGCCTGGGGCTGGCACTAAGTGAATACAGCAGCCTTGTCTTGGAGGGTGTAGTGAATAACAGCCCCTGGGTCACTCTTCCCAGAGGACAGCCTGAGGTGTGGGGGTGGGGCCTCCCAGGGGAAGAGCTGGATGCCCTGAGGTAGGATGATTCCCCTGATATCCTCTTCTAAAAAGTTAAGCCCTAGGACACTCAGTATTCTCACCCCAAGCCCAGTTTTCATTGCTTGGAGACAGGACTGGTCAGCCACTCAAGTGCTGGTATTGAGGGGGTGAAATAGAAATGATTCTCATCGTTTGAATTCTGTTAGACTGGTGAAGCGAGAAAAACTATCCCAAAGGTCAAGGATAACGTACCAGAGTGAGATGGTGCAAGAGCCTGAAAGCACACAGTGCAGTGTCCAGTGGTTGGGGGCGGGGAGTGGTCACTAAGCACTTCAGTGAGCAGCATGGGGTGGGGGATGTCCCAGGTGACAGGAGGACCTGACCTGACCCTTGAATGAAACTTGTCTGTGTTCCAGTCAGCACTGTCCCTCCCTGGGGTTGTCAACCTGGAAAAGATTTGTTCACTCCATTCCGTTCAGTTTTTTCTTAGCTGTAAAATGCATTCTGACCTTAGAGATTGATAGAGAAGATAATGTTTCTAAAGGGACAAGAGAGAGTTGGATTTCAGAAAACAAAATATATACATTTAGGCCTATATGCCTTTAAAAAATTCTTGTTTATTTTTTCTGTCATACTATAAGTTTCCCAGATCTGTTTTTTTTTTCTTTTTTTTTTTTTTTTTTTTTTTTTTGAGACAGAGTTTTGCTCTTGTTACCCAGGCTGGAGTGCAATGGCGCGATCTCGGCTCACCGCAACCTCCGCCTCCCAGGTTCAGGCAATTCTCCTGTTTCAGCCTCCTGAGTAGCGGGGATTACAGGCACGCGCCACCATGCCCAGCTAATTTTTTGTATTTTTAGTAGAGACAGGGTTTCACCATGTTGACCAGGATGGTCTCAATCTCTTGACCTCACGATCCACCCGCCTCGGCCTCCCAAAGTGCTGGGATTACAGGATTGAGCCACCGCGCCCGGCCCTCTTTCTTTTTTAATTGAATGATCTCAAATGGAATTTCAGAGCTGAGCAGAGAAAATACCAGGGAAAATAAACTGGAAAAAAATTTATTTCATGATGACTACAGAAAAATGAATACTGTGTCAAGGCTCTTAAAGTACTTTTTCTGGTAGGAGAAAGGTAGAACCATATTCAAAATGGAAGCTGAGGTAACATAGGGTGAATAAAAATTCATGAAAACAGGCAGATTTGTAATTAGTTGATTATTGTATGTGGAGGTGTTGGATAGAAGATTATTTTCCTGGAGATAACAATTTGTCCCTGTTCTTTGTGTTGAAGTGGCTGTCATTTGTATCACTGCCTGGCAATACCTGCTGTGCCATAGTTTCTCTTACCTTAAATAGATGCTTATGTTCCAGAATTTGCTGTTTTCCATTGGACTTTGTACCCATCACTTTGCTAACACCATACTTTCCTGATTACTATAGACTTCAAAGCCTTGATGTGTGGTAGAGAAAGAGCCTACCTGTCTTAATTACTTAGGATTGCTATACCAGATTGCCATCAACTGCATGCCTTAAACAACATTTGTTCATTTATCAAAGGTGTAGAGGCTGGGAATCCAAGCTCAAGCAGGTCAGATCTCTGGTAAGGGCCCGCTTCCACATTTAAAGATGGCAATCTTCCCCTTATGTCCTCACATGGTGGAGATATGTCGATAATGTCTGTCTAGTTTTGGTACTAGAGCAATGTTGGCCTTATTTATTTATTTATTTAGAGATGGAGTATCCCTCTGTCGCCAGGCTGGAGTGCAGTGGTGCAATCTTGGCTCACTGCAACCTCCGCCTTCCGGTTTCAAGTGATTCGCCCGCTTCAGCCTTCTGAGTAGCTGGGACTACAGGCGTGCGCTGCGACAACCAGCTAATTTCTGTATTTTTAGTAGAGACGGGTTTCACCATGTTGGCCAGATGATTTCAATCTCCTGACTTCCTGATCTGCCCCCGCTTGGCCTCCCAAAGTGTTGGGATTACAGATGTAAGCCAAGGCGCCCAGCCGTCCTTATAACATCAATTAGAAAGTATTACCTCTGCTGGCTGGGCGTGGTGGCTCATGCCTATAATCCCAGTATTTTGGGAGACCGAGGTGGCCAGATTACCTGAGATCCACGAGACCAGCCTGATTAACATGGAGAAACCCCATCTCTACTGAAAATACAAAATTAACTGGGCGTGGTGGTGCATGCCTGTAATCCCAGCTACGGGGGAGGCTGAGGCAGAAGAATCGCTTGAACCCTGGAGGTGGAGGTTGCAGTGAGCCTAGATTGTGCCATTGGACTCCAGCCTGGCCAACAAGAGTGAAACTCTGTCTTTTAAAAAAAAAAGAAAAGTATTACCTCTGCTTCTATTTTCTGGAAGACATTGTAGAGAATTGATATCATTTCTTCCATAAGTGTTTGCCATAAATCACCAGTGAAAACATCCTGGCCTTTTTCTTGGGTAATTTATTATTTATTGATTCAATTTCTTCAAGAGATGTAGGCCTATTCATATTACTTTGTGTTAGTTTTGTGAGTTTTGGTAGACTGTGTCTTTTTTTTTTTATTCTTTCATAATTGAGATTTTTTCGGTTGAAGATCAGTACAGACATTTCAATTTGTGCACAATTCTTAACATACGGGATGAAAATCTAAAAAGCCATGTATTGAAATTCTTTTTGAAGTTATTCCAATGACTTTCCAGCTTAAAATTTGGAAGCAAATTTTCCTGAAGAGGCTATCAAGTACCAGTATCTTTACTTGTTACGCTTTTTTTTTTTTTTTTTTTTTTTTTGTCTTTTTGCTTTTTTCCTTTTTGTGGAGAACGGGGTCTCGCCATATTGCCCAGGCAGGTCTCGAACTCCTGGGCTCAAGCTATCCTCCCGCCTCTGCCTCCCTAAGAGCTGGGATTACAGGCGTGAGCCACAGCGCCCGGCCATCTTTACTTGTTGATAAGCTGTTACGTACTCCCAGCAGTTCACAACTGAGTAGCGTATATACTACATATTCAAATGTTTAATCTTTCACAGCACAATAACAAAGTTATTATGAAAACAGGACTACTACAATCCAAGAAGTTACAGAATGCACACAATTCTGACAGGGAGAGCCATGATCAATGAACGATTTTCTTTAGGAAACAATTCTGAAAAAACAACATGGGAATAGAAGTAATTTCAAATGTTCAATACATTAAATGCAGGACTGACTCCATTTTACCATTTAATATGCTTTGTATTATAGGCTGTGAAAACTAACCCCCCATCTTTGGAATGTTAAACT